TTTTTTTCACTAAGTATAATTCTCTTTTCTGTTTTGCGATGAAAAGTGGCTGGACACCTTTTGCAGAGAACACCTTTCTGCGTAGGCGGCCTTCGGCCGCGCTTAGGGATTATAACCCTCACAAAGTAGAATTCTCTTTCTGTTTTGCAAAGAAAAGTGGCTTAACACCTTTTGCAGAGAACACCTTTCTGAGTAGGCGGCCTTCGTCCGCGCTTAGGGATTATAATACTCACAAAGTTGAATTCTCTTTCTTTCGAATAATAGAGGCGGAATACCTTTTGCAGAGAACCCCTTTCTATGTAGGCGGGCTTTGGCCCCGTTTAGGGATTATAACCCTCACAAAGTAGAATTCTCTTTCTGATTTGCGAAGAAAAGGGGCTGAACACCTTTTGCAGAGAACACCTTTCTAAGTAGGGGGCCTTCGGCCGCCCTTAGGGATTATAACCCTGACAAAGTAGAATTCTCTTTCTATTTTGCGAGGAAAGGGGGCTGAACACCTTTTGCAGAGAACACCTTTCTGCGTAGATTAAAAACCCCCGAGAAAAAATAAATTAACATCATAACCTCAACATCGGTTAAGCCTTCCGCAATATTCTTATGCAGAGCTTTTTTTAACACATTATACTTGTTAGCGTCAACCAATTTGTTTAGCACGGTGTACATCAAAGAGACTTTTAAATCTTTATTCAATAAATCAATTAGTTAAATTTAAAATATATTTTGGGGTATAATATATTTACGTTTGGTTTTCCCAACCGCTTGCTTTTAGGCTTCTGCCTCTAACGAAGCCGAAAATCGTTTCTTTTAATTTCAGCAAACTGACAGTAGCGAGGGTTGCCAGTAGGCACAAAGGAAAACCAAAGGTAATTTAGAACGGTGTTTACACTTTCGATTAATTCTGTGTTGATGGTAGCGGAGTTTCCAACATTCTCCCCCCGGTATCTCCCATGAAGTGGGAATACCTAAGCTTCTTGAAAGCCGCCACGTCGTACATCTAGCACAGCTATATTCGTTGCGGGTTGGAGCTATTGTCCCTGCGCAGTTGACCTGTAGTGCAATTCACTAACTTTTAACGATACGATTTGTCAAGGTCTAAGATACGGATTTTGTGGTTTGCAGTAACGATTGTGTTATTCGGCAACTCTTTTTTAACTACACTAAACAGCTGACATTTTCTTTTTATTTAAATAAGAGAAAGGTGGCATCACAGCTTAACGAAACGTCAAAAATTGTGAAAAGCACAAAGAAGAATGACGAAAAACAAATAAATTCTTTGCTTGCAAAGTGGTATACACATAGTTTTCTGGATGTTTTAATATATTTTTACAAAAAGTAAGTAAAATAAAACGTTTATTTATTTTGTATTATTAGACATAACCATTTTCGCATATTATAGAAAGGCTTCGTCAGTACACAGTGTTCAAATGAGAAGCCGGACAACAGCATAACAACTAAGTCGCATGGTGGACTTTTTGGCGGAAACGCCGGGATTGGCAGGATCAAGGTTCCAGAAGCTTCATGGCAAATCGGTCTGCGACAAGAAGTGGAGTGAACTAGCGTCAATGCTGAATAGCCTTGGTGGTTCGGTAAAGAACGTCGACCAATGGTGCACAGTATGTAAAAATTGTTTAGTAATTCAATACCACGTCTAAAATTTTGTTTTGCAAAAAGGTATGGAGGGATTTGAAGAGCCGTACTAGCATTAAGGTGCGTGATAGAAAAAGAAAGCAGGCAATGACGGGAAACATTCCCATTAACCCACCCACTGAGCTTGAGAGGCGTATAATTGCCCTTGTCGGTAGCGACTATGTGCAGGGCCATGAAACTGTTGCTGAAAATGTGCCAGTGGAAAAGGTAAAAAGCAAGTAAATAGTTTTGAATAGCACAGCAGTAACAATTCTTCCCATCATTAGGAACTCCAACTGCGTATGGAAGAAGGTGAGAAAGTGTCATCATCGAGATGCCATCTATTTCTAACGAAGTGAGCATTGAGATTTGCACATCGACTCCCATAACTCCTGCAGGAAAAACGCCACGTAGAGGTGCAAAAACAAGGCGTGTGGACGGTGGTACCGAGGCCCAAAAAACATTTTTGGAAATTGCTCAGACCCAAGCAAATGCCTTAAAAGTAATTTACTTATTTGTAACTTTACATAAGTAAAATATTTTGATATAATTTTTTCGGTTCTTTTTCAACAGATGCTAGCAGAGTCGAGTGCAGCGAATGTATACATTTACATTTACATTTGTATACAAATACCAAATAGACAAGCAGATGCTTTGAAGGTAATTTTTGTACATACTAATAAATACCCTGCAGTGAAAAGCCAAACCAGTTGGAAAAAATACTAGTTCATTAACTAGTATGTGCCTACCAGTCCGACAATTTCGAAGAACTTAGGCGATCAGCGACATCTGCCTCTGAATTGCCAAAGCCAAAAATAAAACGCAATTAATTGGTTTTCTTACAAATGTCGGCTGTGGCGTCACGTGAAGACTACTGGTTGTGGTTCTGAAATCGCAGGTTCGAGGCCGCTTGGAGGTGGTTAAGATTTTTAAAATTTAAATAAATGTAAGTAAAAATAATTTATTCAATTTATAAATAAGTAACAAATTTGAAAATCTAATTGCATTGCAAAAAACATTTAGGAAGAAATGCTTGTGCTATAAAAACAAAGTAATTAAACAAAAATATTTTTTTATTAAATTTAAAAATTACAATAAACAGCCTAAACAAAAGAATAAATTTATAAAAAATAAAAATAAAGTAAAAAATAGAAAATAAAAAAATTTTCCCTGCGCCAGGATTTGAACCTGGGACCTCAGGCTTACCACGCGAGTGGTTTGCTCTGTC